AAACCATGAACCAGGTAATAGGTAGCTTACCAATGACGTCCAAAACATCAACAATATGAGACCGATATTCGTCGTCTACCTCATGGTCTTGAGCCGGAGCACTTCCACCAACCGTCGACGCGCGATTCCGCGTGAATCGGTTAACACCCATTCCACTTGCCCATCGCATGGGGGTCCGACTCCCTCGTCTTGGTATCTCCGGTAGCGGAGGGACATCCTCCGGCATTTGTTGGTTTGATGCCGAGGAAACAATGGGGTGCGACGTCTCCTCTTGCACCGGGCGCATCTGGCCGCCCGTCGTCACCCGTGCCAGAGCAGCCGGGTTGGGCGTAGACCATCGCCCAGGTCGGGGCTCGGAGTTGCTGCGACGACGGTTGCCCTGCCATGACTCGTCTTCAGTGGAAGCTGCTGGGATGGCAGGGAGAGGGGACAGAGTGGTCCCAGGGGTCCTGCTGGTATCGCCATTTTGTTGCGATTGCTGTGAGCGGAGCGTGGATAAATTTGCCTGCTCCAACGAAGGCAGGCGTTGGAGGCGAATGGACGGGCGGCGGGAACGCAGCGAGGCCGCACGTTGTCGGGGGTATGACGTCGGTCCGGGGGAGGGCGTGGCCGACGGTGGCTGGCCTTCGTGGGGAGCAGGCGAGCCGTTGACGGGCTCGATGGGGTCCATTGAAGCCGGCGTGCACGAAGAATTCTCACATGGACGACGGGGGTTTCTCGAGGGAAGGGGAGGGAAAAGAAAGTAAAAATCCAAGAGGCGAAGGATGAAAGTGAAAACGAAAGGGGCCGCAAAGGCTAATCTATTTAACTATTGGAGGATGGGATTTGCTGCCAGGAAGCTGCCGTGGTTGCGCCGTCGTGACTAAGCCAGTCAGCCATCACCACCTTAACTTGACTAGTGAACAAGTGGGTTTGCCGATCCTCCAAGGCTTGTCGTTGGACTTTCTTGTTCCTCCAGTGATGAAACTTGCAGGTGTGCGCTGTTCTTTCATCTTGGTTCATGCATCGGTGTATATATTGACCTGGAGCATAATTTTTTCAGCTGCAGTCATCGCTCTCTCAGAGAGAATAATCTTATTTTTGCCTGTTCTTACTCATTGCGGTCTAGCCCCCCGTGGACTGCCTTGGGCAACAACCGTGCGTCTCCCATTGCTGGATCCTCAATCGTCCACTCTTTGGGCCTCTCGTAATCAATCCTACACCACAGAAACACAAAGGACTTCAATTTGGCCTTTTTCCATGAGTATCGACATTATATACACATATTTTGTTCATCTAAATCCTTATCCCTGCAATGGCCTTCGATTTTCAAATATTAACAGAGTGCTTCGTCTGACTCGATGAAAACGATAATTCCCCACTTGAAAGACCCGACTCCATTCAGTGCCCAACCATAGCCTGGTGACGCTCATTATATCTATTTCCCTGTGGCTTGGCGGCATCAATGATCTTGCGCATCTCTGCTTTCTCCTCATCTGTCAAGTCAATCTCCCGAGAAGCCCAGTTTTGCTCCAATCGGTGGGCCTTGGTTGTGCCGGGAATGGCAATCATGCCTTGAGCTGCAACCCACGCGAGGGCGACTTGGCTGATAGAGCAGCCCTTCTTGTTTGCGATCTTCTTGATTTCGTCCACAATCTTCTTGTTGGCGTAGAAGTTTTCACCTTGGAATTTGGGGGCTATTGACGTTTAGTAGGCATAACAAGCAATACAAAATGGGCAAGGCAACTTACAACCGCGACGGAAATCGTCAGGTGCAAAGTCTTCGGGCGTCTTGAAGGGGAAGTCGTCCACAAGCCAGCCGTGTCCCAGAGGACTGTAGGCCACATAGGCCACTCCCAACTCCCTGGCGGTGTCGATCAGACCGTCCGTCTCGTGGAGAGTTTCAAAGGCCGAGTATTCAGCTTGGACAGCGTCGATCTTGGCAACTGGGGGAAGGTCAGACATTGGACAGCCATGAAATACCAGCAGAAGCACTCACTTGAGTTGGCCTTACGCAGCGTCGCAGCAGAGCACTCAGACAGACCGATGTACTTGGTCTTGCCTGCCTTGCGGATCTCATCCAGAGCTGGGATGGACTCCTCAAGGGGGGTGTCTGCCTTAGGTCAGCCAGTCTGAAAGAGTACATGGGTGCACAGCACGTACTAGGATCGATACGGTGGAGGTAGTATAGGTCAGGTGTGAAGCCTAGTCTTTCAATGGTTCCTTCAATGTATTCCTTGATGTGCGAGGCAGAGTTGGTGACGGTAAAGTTTTCAACTTTAAATCCGCACTTTGAGGCAACTGCATTGTAGTCAGTATCGTACTGCATCAGTGGGCTAGGTATGTACATACTGAAGATCTTGTCACGAACATTGTGCTTGCGAATGAAGTCTCCCAGAAGTTTCTCGTTCACACCCGCTTGGTAGATAACCTGAGTTCATTGGTTAGACACCTACATCTTACTAAAGGAACTGGCGGACTAAACTCACAGCGGTATCCCAGAAAGTGCATCCAAGCTCGATAGCTTTCAAAAGAACCGGCTCTGCTTCTTCAAGACTGAGGTTGCTTCCCAAGCCGAAGCTGAGGCCCATGGCACCAAAGCCAGGTGACGGGACCTGAATGTCTTGAAAGGGAAGTGTCTTGACCATGTTGACGGAGGATATTTGATATTTGATAGTGTTGATTGCTTGAGTTGTGTTCAAACCTCGAGGATTTGAGAATGCTTCGCTAGGAGGGGAGGCGGTTCTTATAGGAACAGCTGTAGGGTCATGACATCGCCCATGGCTCTGCTTCCGGGTGGACCCTGTCCTGTCCAGCACAGGCCTGTCATGGAACCCTTCTCTTGCCGATTAGCCATAGTAGCAATGGGATTCGCAGGATGGAGTTCGAGTTTCCACTGTTCTGTTGATTGTAGCTTCTCGCCTCCAGTATAGTTTCAGACTATGGTACCACAGATCGCATATGTGGGCAGCTTACACGCTAGCCGCGGGGAGTATCAAGTTGATGACCGCTTAACTCCCCCAAAATCCGTTAAATCCGACACAACCGAGGATCTGTCCATATTCTGCTGGTAAAGTGAAGTACCCACCTTGAAGTCATGATGGATATCATGGAAATGTATCATATCTCAAAAGCATGCTAAACCTCTTTCTGGTTCAGCGCATATGCAAGGGTCAGCTTTTAGTTCCAACTCTAGTGCCGATGCGGGGTCCATATCCAGCCAGTGGCAATTCTCCTTCCCGACAGATATTCCACGGAAGAGCTATATGCTGCCGGCAATCCTGCGAATACATAACGAGCCAACAGCCCTATGTCGATTGTGGATGTTTCTGAATATCCTATGAGGCTTCAAATTAACAGGCCGTGTTTCTCGCTGTACGCATCGAGGTTTAGTTTGTTCAATTAAAGCTCCCAAAAAGAAATATACCTCCACGAGCTGATGCGAGATTTGACCAAAACTGCTATATTGGGATTGTGTACAACACGGGTAGTCCATACTTGCTGGGTATGTCTGAGCCAGCTCTGAATAGCATGGGCTGTGATGCGTATCGCGCTCGATCCAACAGCCGCATACTTAAGCTTATTGGTTTTGGATAAAGCAGCCACATAACCTAAGCTCTGCTATCAGCAATATCTATGATTTACCGAGGTCTTTAAGGGATCTAGTATCTTCTGCTCGCACTCTGTCAATCATAGCACTCGGAATTGAGGAGGAAGCGAGACCGTCGCCGATTCAAACGTGGAGTCGTCGGCATATCATCGCTGTTCATAATGTGTGCCGTTGATGATAGTTGCGGCGCACTTGGCTGGCAACCTCATATTATGGCTGTCAGGATCGGTTTGATTCAAGAATCCACACAGCAGTGTACGCGCTTTATCCTATCAAGGACTAGATATAGGCCACTGTCACGCACATGTCTGCAGTACTATTTGATGTAGGCTCTAGCCAAATTGCTGTCAACACATAATGCGGCCACTTTTCCTCAAGGGGGACATATCATGGAACCACTAGATATGGGTAATTGTTGCTGTATGCCAATCAATGCGCACAGCGTTGAGCAAGCGATTTCGCTTGGTGCAGGGAATGAGAGTTCATGATCGATCGACCTGATAGCAATGGAGATACCTTGCCGTCTCCTGAAAGCGATGCCTTTGTTGGTACGGAAAAGAGAAAGTGAGTATTCTGGATGAGCTACTTGCTTGAATATTTCTCAGAGTGTGCCGCGACTGGCCCGTGACTTTTCTTGGGCACGTGGGGAGGCTCACAGTCCCCGCAAGAATGCTGATTTGGCTTGGGTAGTGGAACGAGTTATACACTTACAGTTGAAGATTCACACTCGCTTTTCTGTTTCCGGTGTGAATCTCCTGGGTGTTCCTATCGGAGATTATGAGAGCGCCGACTCCAAAGGCACTATCTCCGTTCATTGGATGTATTATACTAGGTACGATTTGTGGACAAAGTCCGTTGCGAGACCAGCATTGCATATCTATTGCCTATGGAGACATTCTAGCGGACAATTCACAGCATCGATGGCTCGAAGACATCCTGAAAACCAGACTCCAGGCTCTGTCGCACTGCTCCTTGTCACCGGGCGAAGTGTCCGACCCGCTGCTCTTTATCAACATCAAACTGTCGTAATCCATTGCTCTTCTCTATTACTACTAGGTTTTGACAATCCTGTCTCTAGAGTCATTCACTAGAACTCAACCGTTATTGTCCAGCACCGACTTATTCTATGACCTATCTGCTCATAAAATTCTCTACTAGCATCGAAAGTAACTCATTGAGGTCTTGACGATCAACAAGAAAAATATAAATATCAATGAGCAGAATCACGTGAACATGATTTTCATTCATTGCAAGTGCTTATGTTGTTTGGGTACTATATTGCCAAAGATGGGAAGATTGGGCAGTAGTCCGAATGCCATCAGTGAAAGTATATACAGATGTTCTATTAATATATCAAGATAGACCCACAATTTTGTAAAGGACGAAAAGAAATTATGGACGCCAACAAATGAAACAACCGCAGAAGCAAATATGCGAATAGCTGCCGATAAGCACACTATTCTAACGCTTACCTAACTACGGAGTACAAGTAAGTGCTATGTTATCAGATAAGAAGTTCGGATCTTGATTCTATGGTAAGTTTGTTTTTATTGTATGCTTTAACTACTAGCTACTGCATTTCCCAGCGATAGTTCTAGAGTGTCGATCTGTTGTCCTAATTACTCTTCACTAGTAACCTGAAGAGGAAAGGCGGGTTTGATGTCCGCTGTAATGTGGTAATCATTAAGAAATCAGAATATTACAATGATTCGGATATGGCTGCAGTGTGACTAACGTGTTTTGATATAAGATGAGATATTACTACCGAATTTGTTGAAAGGATCCGAAGGGTGGGAGGGGTAAAGAGGGGAAATTGAAACTGAAGGTTGCATGGTGGCAGGCAGTACCAAAGACTCGCCCCAAAGATAGTACTGACAAGAAGGAAAATTGATACCAAAAATTACTTTGGTGGTATGATGAATCAAATTGACCATCAAAGGCACAGATATCTAGCATTGTTGATGCGGTGCTCGCATTGCGCGCAAAAATATATACCCCGTCGTGTCCAGATTACACGTCGCTAATCCTGAAGGCCAATAATGGAACTTCCCGGGCAGTTGCAGGTAGGAACATCATGGGGATTGTTTGGGATTGGGCGGGTGTCGGGCGATTTCGTGGAACGGAAATAGATTGGTTGAAGGGTGATTGACGGGGTGCGTCATGTGCTTGATGTCTCGGCTGCAGGGGGGGAAATCGGGTTTGCAGGATGCATAGTACAGGAGTGACAGACGACACTCTGCAGTTGATTGATCGAGCTTTCCAACACCCCATGTTTAGCTACCAAAAAACAACATTTTATGTTGTGAGAGTTAGGAATTACAGCCTCATTCGGGAGAAATATTGCCGGTACTACTACGACCATCATCAACAAGCAGGGGAGCAATTGATTGGGAAGAACACTGCCGGGTGGGAATGGATGGAGTGGCGATGACGGGAGAGGGCGATCTGGCCAGATACAAGTTGGCAAGTGGGGATGGGGCTCGCGGGCAGCCTGACTAATGAGGATGAACTGGCGACTGCAGGTTGGCAGGGAGTAAGAGTAGTAATGATACCATTGTGTGTAAAATTTGAGGAGTTGTATTCCATGCGAATCATTGTCTTTGTTTTTTTACTGGGTTGTATTTTGTGCACGTGGGATGGAAGTTACTCGAAATGGCTGAATGTTTCTCACAACTGACTTTGGGAAGCAACGATGCTTCTCCCCAACAACCACTAGTGTTAGTGGAAAGTGAGTTCATGGGAAGAGTGAGTCAACAACCGGTGATGTCAGATCCCCTGCGAAGGGCTCCAGCTGCTCCATCGCGTCTAAACTGCTCCAGGGAAGGTGCCTGAGGGCCGCCCAGACCGCCGGACGGAAAGTCCACGTCGGGCACCCCAGAATAGTCTAGCGCCATACGGAACTGGTACGGCTGGCCAGCTTCAAGGCATCTTCAGGCAGATCTGGGCTGATCCAGGCATCTTCAGGCAGGAACCTGCCCCCTTCGGCATAGGCCCGCCACCGCCCTCGCTGCCTGCCCTTTTTCTCTCACCTTCTCCTTTCCCCCCCCGTCGACTTCATCCTTCCTCTCAAGGTAAATCTTCATCAAGTTTCAATCCAGATTTCCCCCGTCAACTCTCGTATCTAGGGCACCAAGCTACCCTTTTCCTCCTATCTCCCCCCCCTCTTCAAGCTATTCCCATTCCCACTTGCTCCAAGGAATTTCAAGTACAGGCAGCCTTTAGCTCTCCTGAGTCCTTGTCTTAACCGCACACACAAACCCGGTCAAGACTTCCCCGCGCGCAACTTTACCACTGTTCAATTCTCTCCACGCTCAACTCCGTTGCGTCCTCAGCCATCAAGATGTCTACTGCCGTCGAGAACACTACCGACAACGTCGCCTCTGCTCCCGCCACTACCGCCCCCGAGGCTACTACCAACGGCACTGCTCCCGCCCCTGCGCAGTCCACGGACGCTGCCGCTGCCAGTGCCGATGAAGGACGTCGGTTGTACATTGGGAACCTCGCTTATGCGACCACTGAGGGGGAGCTGAAGGAGTTTTTCAAGAACTACAAGATGTAAGTTGCTTGACCTTGCTTTGCTTTGTTGTTGTTCCACCTGGCCTTTCGCCTCCCGGTTGGTCTAAGCTCCGTTGGGCTGGTCCTAGCGGTTCGGGGGGCCGGCGAGAGCCACGTTTCCTACACCCCCTTGCTGCCATCGGAGGTAGTACCGCGCAGCGGTGGTATGTGGCCACCACTGCAGGGACGCCAATTGTTCAGAGCTCCATTTCCGAACCCCTTCTTTGTCAAACATTCTTATGCGGGAAGTTATACCGATCTAACAATGGCTCTTTCACAGTGAGAGCGTCTCCATCCCCGTGAACCCTCGCACCAACCGTCCCGTTGGCTACGCCTTCGTGGACCTCGCCACTGCTCAGGAGGCCACCGCTGCTATTGAGGAGCTGTCTGGAAAGGAGATCCTCCAGCGTAAGGTCTCTGTGCAGCTTGCCCGCAAGCCCGAGCCTGCTGAGGCCAAGGCCGAGGGTGCTACAAGTGGCGGTGAGGGTGCCAGCGGTAACGAGGGTCGCAAGAGGGCTGGTGGCCGTGGCCGTGGCCGCGGCCGCGGTCGTGGTCGTGGAGGCCGTCTGCCCCGTGCTGGTCGCTCTGTAAGTGGCTCGTCATTCATGCTCCATCCAATCGGATACTAATCTACCATGTAGCAGGCCCCAGTTCAGAACGGTCAGGAGGCTGCTGAGCCCACCAACGTTCCCGCTCAGGCTGCTCCCCTGACTGAGGTCACCAACCAGAACGAGACGGCTGCTGCCACCGAGTCCAAGCAGGCTGGCAAGCCCCGTGCTCCTCGTCCCCAGAAGCAGCGCGGTCCTCCCGAGGATGGCATTCCTTCCAAGACCAAGGTCATGGTCGCCAACCTTCCTTATGACCTGACCGAAGACAAGGTACGAATGAAGATTTCAGCATTCAAAGTAACATACTAATTCCCTCTCAGCTCAAGGAGATCTTTGCCGACTACCAGCCCGTCTCCGCCAAGATTGCTCTCCGCCCCATCCCCCGTTTCATGATCAAGAAGCTCCAGGCTCGCAACGAGCGCCGCAAGGGCCGTGGTTTCGGTTTCGTCACCCTTGGCTCCGAGGAGCTACAGAACAAGGCTGTTGAGGAGATGAACGGCAAGGAGATCGAGGGCCGTGAAATCGCCGTCAAGGTCGCCATCGACAGCCCCGGCAAGGAGGACGACGCCATCGCCCCTGCTGAGACTGAGACCACCGAGCAGGCGACTGAGGCTCCGGCACAGGAGAACGCTGCTCCCGCCGCTGCTTAAATGACAATCCCGTTCCCCACCTGAACGAACATACCTCCGTGGAAACTCGGGGGATCAATGGAGGAGGCGAAGTCGGGACCTGTCATCTGCATGGTTTTTCATAGTGGGCGTCGGCTGGAGGCCAATTTCTTTTCCGGATGGGGAGAAAGGCGCAAGAGCAGAGGGGAAAGGTTTAAAAGCCTAAAAAACTTTGACTGTTCTTCCTGTTTGATCTGGTCCTAGGGGGGTTCTTCTATATGTTATATACGGATACCCGAAAGGGATTCGTTGTTGGAGATGGAAATGCCGTAATGTGATTGTCTGACGGAACCTGACCTTTGCTCACGAATCTTGCCATTCTGCCACACTGTGTATCTTAGCAATATTTATTTAGCTTATGATTAGCCGCAAGGCTGGCCTTGTAATATTTTGTGCATGTGTTTATCGTAGGATTAAATTGCACTCGCTGTATCGTTTCAACGTCTGTTCTGTCGTAGAGCTTCATCGCTTCAAACTACATAACAATGGATATTGTATTCCGAGTATATAGTAACGGTGTCAAGAGCAGGACTGGATAGTACATAGCGGTACTGTCATCCCCATTGAACTAACTTCCCCGCATTGCATCATCTCCAATATGTAATCCAACGCCTGGATTCGTGCCAATGTGGCGAGAGGTGTAAACAATCCACTACAATCAATACGGCGATTTAATCTCATAATCATTACTGTTAGTATCTGCCATTGCCATCATTCACACACTTTCGGTTTCTAGATTCAATGGTTTTAATGGAATCAAACTACGTACTAAGATTCAGATTTTACGTTCTTTCTACATAGAACATAGCTCTGATAAGAGTATTCCAGTTCGTACAGCAACCCATGTCCAACTTTACCCCCAAGGGACAGTACCTTCACTAACTTGGTGTTTCACTGGGAGTAGTTATACATCATCTTCTGTCTTAGAATGTTGCTTATCATGCAAATCCTGAATCTGAGAATAAATAGAAACAGCCTGATCGTAGGTCTCATACGAGGTCCAGCCATCTCTGCTGAGGATTCCGGACAACGCGTCCCAGAAATCTTGCACTTCGTTCCATCCTTCGCTGTCTTTGTGGTGTTTGTGGATTTCGTTGGGGGTGAAGGTGATGAGGCACTTCGTGGTAGGGTCTGTGTGGTGGAGGGTAGTCCAGTTGCTTCGGAGATGTGTTTCAGTAAATGTAGGGATATATCGAGTACAACACTCACTTCTGAATTCTAATTAATGATTCTCGTAGAGGTAAGATATCTCCGTCCCATGTGTTTCCCACGAAGTGGATCGGATGAGTTAATATCTTGCCGTTGGGGTATCGGAGTAGTTTGTCCAGGAGTGGGTTTTTCTTCGCTGTGTATTTTTCGTAGAGGTATAGTAGGATTGATCGGGAGATCTTCTCTCTGAGGTCCTTTTGGGTATCGTTATCCAGCTGTTTGAAATCCTTAGGTGGTTTGAGTAGCAAGTCCCCGGTGTAGTCGAGGAAATGCGGATGGCGGCCTTCGAGGAACAATGGACCAGCCCATGTGCTTTGCCAGTCTGTTATGCTTGTGATGTGGCCGCTGTTGTCGACGAAGATGTTAGGAGTGCGGAGGTCGGTGTGCCATAAGAATGATCCTAGGATGTCTTTATCCCGTGGGATTAGGTGAGGTGTGACGGTTAGGTATTTTTGGAGAAGGGAGTTGTGTTCAGCAGGATGGCTTTGGCTGTAGGAAGTGAATAGTGGATCATCTGGTGAACGTGGTATTGCGTATTCCTTGATCCAGGATATTTCTTGATTGGCGAGAGCACGTATGTAGTCGATTGCAGAAGTCCCTGTTTTGATTAGTAGGGTAGATTAGAGATAGGAAACTGGTGAGAGAGACGAACATGGTCCACGATCAATATTCATACTCCCACGCTCATTGCTCCAGAAGGCTGTATCGGCAACCGGGCCGATGGAAAACCTTTCAGCGATCTTCTGCCTGACTTCTAGTGGGTAGTTGTCTCCTTCTACTATTGCAGGTTGAGACCCAGGAGGTGCGTCTTTCTGATTATAAAGACAGCCATATCTAGTGAAGTTAGAAAGCACACCAAATTGGTCCTTTATTATGGGTATACAAACACAGAAAATCTCAATGATAGCAACTTTTGCTGAAATTTTACTATATCCTTCATTGTCTGAACCTTATGCTCAAGATCCATGTCCGCCCAAACATCTGCAAGATTGCCACCCGTAGCATTCTCCATGACAATATACTCAGCTCCTACACGATTTGTAGAATTGACAGCCGAATTCCACGCAAGCACTTCGGGAACTGGAATATGAAATATGGTCCTTAATTAGGATCCAAGTAAGATAAGAGCATGAAATTGGGCCATTAGCACGACCATTGGATATAAAATACTCACAAGGTCCATCGTAGCAACCTCAGACGCCGTCGTCAAAATTGTTGGTCCAGCATTCGGATTCGGTATCCGAGCGATAACCGTTTTCCCAGTGTCCATGATGAGCTTGAATGATTTATTGCACGATCGTTCCCCTATCTTTGCCATACTGAGACAGCGCTCAGAAGATGAAGCTTGAATGGCAACTTTCTGCAGCTCAAGAATGTTAAATTCTCGGTATCTCTCTTGAAGCTGCTGCTTTTCGTTCCAGAGCCATCGTCCACTAGTATATCGGGAAAAGTCTTGGGAGTTACCGACGATGTTAGACAGAGGAGGTTGGGAATAATGTCGGCTTAAGAGAGGTTCTGGGGTTATCTTTCTTTGCCGATTTGATAGGCTATCCCGCAGTCTTCTTAACGTAGGCGAGGATATGTGCATGTTTATCCCACGATAGCATGAAACTATGGAAATGTAATATTGAAAGGAGCACAACGTAAACATTCTTGATTTGAGTACTTTGGGCATTAGTCATCCACCCCCTGCACGTTTTGACAATTACTTTCTCTTGTATGTAAGGGTTTATGGTAAGGGTTCGTAGTGAGGCCGATAGGTGATATCTGTATGTGGATATTGTTTTGGTCATGGACACTAGCGTACTTCCTGATTTAGGGGCGCATTAATATAGACTGATCCCTATTTTGACATGATAACTCTGTCAAGACCTCAATAGAATGGTATAGTTATATTGTAAACACAATGACTAAGAGCCGCTCTACATGCTATTGTGGCTGGAAGTATCTCTGAATATACTCTACCTCCATGCATTATCCCACCCAGCCTGCTCGACAACAAACGCAATAGCCAACTCGGAGAACCGAGCCATGTGCTGGCAAATCGTTAGCAAGAGGATGGACAGCTTGAGTGTGGTCAACTTACGTCGATAGAGAAGACGCCTGTTTCATCGTCAACGTCCATCCTATCCTTGATGCCGTGTACGTAGGGGTCCATTTCACCCGGGAAAGAGCCCCCAGCGAGCGGGTTGCCTTCGGAGGCAAAGGCAGCGGGGTAGTTGAGCTTAGTGTATGACATGTAGTCGGATCCAGCGTTGCTAAGAAACCATTCAGCACTTGACATGCCTCTGGGGATATTTTGGGGTCTTACGGGCCAAGTTCATAGACTTCCGCCGGAATGGAGATGTATTCTCGACTGAGGTTGGCGGCCCAGTTTGTGAGCGCTGCATCGGCTTGGGTTGCAACAAACCCGATGGTCTCGGTGGCGTTACGGGCAATAAAAGCCGTCATATCCTATGCAGATGTTAATAACCGAAAGTCAAAAGTGATTCCAAGTCCGTTGGATGATGGGAACCTACAAACTCCATCATGGCACCAATTTTAGCGCCCTGCTCCTTCTTGTACCGCGCGATGGCTTGGCTGCCCAGTAGCCCGCCCTCTTCAGCCGCATACCAATGGAATTCAACAGGCCCGTCCTTGGGCGTGTAGCCATTCTCCGCCAGAACGCGGAAGGCCTCGAGGATACTGACAGTGCCGGAACAGTCATCGTCAGCGCCAGGGGCGGGCAGCAGCGGAAAAAGATAATTGGCCGAATCTTGGTGCGCACCAATGATGGTCAAAGGCTGGGAGAAGCTGCGGACTTTAGGCTCGAAGCGTGCAATAATTGAAGATTGGCGGAAAGGATGGGTGAAGTATTCGAGAGAGATGTGGGTGCGGAAAGGTGATTTGGAGATGATCTTGGTTGAGTAAGTTCATGTTCAAAAATTGTGGCTGTGGGGGGTGGAAATACCGCAGCAATGTAGTCGTGCAGCCATTCGGAGCTCATCTCGCCGTGATAATCACCATAGTATCGATTTGTAGTAGGAGGTCATGTGCTGCAGAATATCGTGCATTCGTTCCGTCTCGATTTGAGAGAACAGCGGCTTGACGAGACCTTTATGGGACAGCTTGGGAAGATCTAGAGGGCGTTAACACAGTATTTATTACCTCAACAAAAGAGAGGCTAACTAGGATCCCCAGCAAACGAGGCCATCGCCTGCTCTGCGTAGAAGTCCTGATGCTCGGTGATGTCCATGAACTTCTTTCCGCGTTGGCGGAGGCGCAGCTTGTCGCCTTCGGTCATCCATTCCGCCTTCTCTTCGCCCCGAATGTGCAAGAGACGAGGTTCAGCTAGAAAAGCTGCAGTTTCGGGACGTAGAGACACCATTGCAGCGACTGGGTCAGAATGAGCGTTCAGCGCCGAGAGTATGGCCTCGTCCACGACGTGTTTGCCCTGTGTATTTGGGACCTCATGATCCGCGGCGAAGACTACTTGCGAGTCGGGAAGCGGGTACGGAGAAGCCAAAGCTGCTCCTGCAGTGCTCCAGAGGAGCAAAAGAGTAGATGTCCTCATGATTTACAGCCGTTTTGCTAATGATGATCAAGAGCGGGACTATGGCGCGGTGAGGTCTTGAGTGCTGAGTGAGCTTTGTGGAGGAAGAGGAGAGATAAGAGTTAAATAAGCTCTCCGGCGGCAAGGGACAAGCAGCCAACGGTTGGCCCTGTTAGCCCCGCCGGAGTCCGGAACCGCGCCATTTGCTGGCGGCCCAGTCTGAGATTTGGGGAAGTTCGGTGCCTGTCAATAACATAGTACATGGCCAGCCAGAAATTGGTTCCTTATCGGTGGATCCAACCAGGAGTCAATAATGCCACCATCTGGCGAAATCACCTTATCAAAGTGACTCATGTTGAGTGTAAGGAGCATAAGCACTATGTCAACAGTGTCATGTGAAAGTGCTCTAGTGTCTTCTATCTACTCCGCACCATCGATTGTTTCGTCTTGCCATCGCCTTGCTGCAAGTTCTTGAGTGACTGACAGCTACTAGCTATACTTTGGAATTGCGGTAGGTTATAACTTACATGGAAGGAGATCCAAAGTCGCTCCAAAATCACCAAATGACTTTAGGTGTCAGCCAAGCGAAAGCTGTACATATATCCTCAGTTCCTTGGTAGGCTATCCGATCGTATGTGAAATATGCTTCGCTTTTTCTGATTGATAGCTATGATGTTTGTCAGCGCGAAGCCGTTAGATTAATTTACACACTCAGAAATATCAAGCAGTTCCATGGGGTGTGTGAAGTGGTCGGCTATCTCAGTTCGCTCTCGTGCAATGCGAAATTCATCGCGACACACCACGTCGCCCAAGATTAATCAACAAGAAATCTTCTCTCGCAAATGCACTGACTAAAAGGGATATTGGAATGAGGTCAGCTCCAAAGAGATCGGCTGCAATCAAGCACTACACGGCCTTAAGACCAGCTGAATCCCAAGTAACCGGCATTGCCTGGAATCTCCACCTTTGCCATCTCTACACTACACTGCTTCTCATGCGATGGTTGTCTACTCCTGTAACAGAACGTATTCAAGGCTTGAAAATTCACAGCCTATGGAAGATTGCTCTACCTTAGTCACTGTCATTGACTTTACTGAATTACCTCTGGCAACAACTTTGGGAATACAGACTTTTCAGGAAACAGATAATGTCATAACAAGCACCATAAGTATGGGAGCAGTGGATCTCCCATCTTGTTGGTGTTGAGATGCCGTTTGAAGCCCAATGGGTACCATAGTTGGCTGAGCTGGAGCCATGGGACGGCGAGTGGAACTGCTGGCCGCATCCTCGGCAGACAAGTCCCGCCTTCAATTAATTGCACCCTTGGACACCACCATCTTCTCGAGTCTCATAGACATCCTCATTCCATTCCCTGTCTGTTGCGATATCTACTGCTAAGTGGATCCGGCAGGTAGAGTTTCATCTGGCGGGTGGAGAGACTAACAGAAGCTAAGGGTAGTGCCTCTTCTCCCCTCCGATCGGCCCCTCTCTTTCTCGCCGCTGAACTCACCGCATCCAGGGGCTGGGGAACATTGAGCAATTGCTGCCCGTCTTAGTCCCGACCTTCATCTGTGCTCCCTGCTCTTTTCGTCCTTGACTCATCATGTCGCGAATGTGGGAGGTTGATCCGGAGACAAGGGCCAAGGTATGCCATCATCACCCCTCCATCCCCTGTTTCTGCCACAACCTCCGCGTCGACGTCGGAGGCCTTGGACAACACACGCTGACTTCCCCTCCCCGGATCTGCTCTCCCTCTCTAGCTCCTCCAGTTCTCCAAAACCAATGGCAACGATAAATGCTGCGACTGCGGCGCCCCTTCGCCTCAATGGGTATGACAGTCCTCTATTCCTAGACGTGCGCAGCACTGTCGCCACGATTCCGCACAACCGTACCGACCGACAATACGCCCACCTTATAACCTCCACTAACACGAATTCTACATCCAGGCGTCCCCTAAATTCGGAACCTTCATCTGCCTGAATTGTGCCGGCACCCACCGCGGCCTGGGCGTTCACATCTCCTTCGTGCGTTCCATCACCATGGACGCCTTCAAGACTTCCGAGATTCTCCGTATGGAGCACGGTGGCAACGAGCCGTGGAAGGAATTCTTCGATTCCCACCCCATCACGCAATCCGAAGGTCGCACATTCGAAGACTCCACCATAAAAGAAAGATACGAGGGCGAAGTCGGCGAGGAGTGGAAAGAGAGACTCGCTGCGAAGGCCGAAGGGAGAGAATACGTTCCGGGTCAACCCAAACCGCAACAACCAAAGAATAAGGAACCGACATCCCGGTCAAGCACACCCCTGGCTGCCCGGGGCGGATCCCCGGCATCGCACGACGGTGTGCCGGAGATGAGCAAGAAGGAACGCAACGAGGCGTATTTTGCTCGGCTGGGAAACGAAAACTCCTCGCGCTCGGAATCGGTACCTCCATCACAAGGAGGCAAGTTCACCGGATTCGGGGGTGGAATGCCGGTCACGAACACACCCAAATCGTCAGGTAGCGGGGCGGCAATTCCAGGATTCGATGATTTCCAGAAGGATCCTATGGGTGCGTTGACAAAGGGCTTCGGATGGTTTGCGACGACTGTGGGGAAGAGTGCGAAGACAGTCAATGATTCGTACATCCAGCCTACGGCGAAGACGGTACATTTTCCATCCATCCTCATCTCTGTTTGCTATGTGCCAGTAATATACTGATGACCTCTCTCACCTTCTAGATAGCAGAATCCGACCTCGCAGCTCAAGCACGCATTCACGCCGCTACTCTAGGCCAAAACATGCAACACGGCGTCCGTGGCGCAGCGGACCATTTCCATCGTTTCGTGGAAGGACCCGACGAAGCCGCAGCCGCAGCTGCAGCACGGAGAGGCCGTGTAGAACCGGAAAGAAAGGACTTCTGGGACTCGTTCTCTTCCGTCGCGGCGCAGGATAGCCACCGGAGAACCGCATCCAGGTCGAGTGCTATTGGCACCGCGGCGATGAAGACGGGGCCTAGTGGTGCTGGCGCTTCTTCGACTTCGTCTGCTGCTGCGTCGTCTGCAACGACGGGCACGGGGGCAGGTTCGTCCGCAACGGCGAGGAAGAGTACGGATGACGGTGGATGGGACGATAACTGGTGATGAAAAATAGAGAGGACAGGTTTTAGACACACTTTGTTATTATTGTTCGGGAGAGCCTAGCTGGATAGGTTGCGTTAGATTGGTTGCTGATATTGTGCATTACATTGCCTGTTTCTTTTGTTCATCTGGCTGGAGTGTTGGTGTTGTGCTGTGCTGTGTGATGTGACGAGATATTCTTGCATGGCAGTGTGCGTATACAAATCATGATTGATATTGATTTCCTCCATTCGGTGGTCTCTAGACTGGATTATAGATCATCCTACTTCATACTCATTATTCCAAACCTGACCTGACCTGGCTGTTAGCCACTCTAGAGTAGATAATATTTATAGTCTATAACCAGGCAACCAGTGGAAATTCACTCTGTTATGCTAACCACACACACTGTCTGCATTTATCATTACCCCTGAACAACCACCACCACCACCACCACCACTCAGCTTATACTATTCTTCCCAATCGGCAATGTATTTCAGGCCATCCACAAGGTCTCAGCTTCATGAAACCTCCTAATATATAGTTTAAATTACAACAGCCCGATCTCATTGATTTCATAATAGAAGACCTATTATTCGTATTTATGAGCGGAATTGTTAGAGTTGCATCGCAGGACACGCTTTCTAAAGAATTCTGACTATATCCATAATAATCTCTTACCTTGTATAGGTGACAGTATCTTCATCATGCCAGTCCCTAACCCAAGTGCTAATCATTGGAGGTGATTCAGGACTATCCAACAATTGCATCGCAGCAGCCTCCATGGGCCTTTATCGCCATCTCTGCGCTTGTATTTGCCCGAGCGCGAGTTTCATCTTCATCAGCATCTGTATCATTATAATATCTTAGAATCTTCTCTGATATACTGCATAGTAATGTAATTATCTTAATGAAACGGGCTTAGTGCTGCCGTTAACTACTATATATACAAGAAGCAGGCAGTGGAGAAAAGGGGTTGTAGACTGTCAAGTGTACGTTCTTCCTTTATTTCTGACGTTTAAAAGTCCTTCACAATAGCTGCAATGCAGCAACCAAATTACCTCATCGTCGAACAGATAGAGTACTGGTAGAAGTGGTCGTGTATATTATGATCTAAGGAAAAGAGAATCAGGGTATGAATTATCATTGTACTAATCATTATCGACTTGTAGCGAACGCTAAGCAAGGGTGGCTATATCGGCGGGTTTCCTGAAGAGGAAGAAAGAGTAGACTGAACTATTTATATAACATTGGTAATGAGTAAACTGAACAACCAAGAAAAGCCTGCCAGATTGTCTTTATATTAACCTTGCCTTTACTGCTAGGTTGGCGGACTTCCTGACAGAGGATGGGGATAGGAATGCTCTCTCTGTCTGTATGGAGGCAGTGGCTCGTCATGCCCTATCCCTAGCTCCCTCTCAAGCTCTTGGAGGTTCTGCTGGTATACGACATCATGGTGCATGACTGTACATGGGGACATGTATATTCGGAACGGAATGGTCCCTGTGAACTGTGTTTGGAGTTCGCACGGTTAGTTCTTGGTTCGTATAGGCTGACACCGCATCGCGACTAGTATAGGTAGGCAGATAGGCAAGATTGAAAAAAAGAAGGTAGGGTAAGCTACCTTGTTCTGTTGCGAAGACTCTGTTTCGTCCTCGCGTTCGCGTCCGAATTCAACGTTGAAACGTAGATTATGATGCACCTTGATCAGCTCCGACTGAACGTCTTGCGTGCAGGCGTGGAAATCCCGTGGAAGGTGAACGGGTATTGTTGAAGAGTAGTCAAAGTCTAGAGACTCGGGTAAGAGGGCCCTTGCAGGTGGTTGGAACGTGTAGCTCTGGTGAAGTATGACATGCTCTTTCCGAAAAATTAGTGGTAGGGGGTTATTGTAGTTTATTGCATCCGAAGCTGTGGGCGTGACTTTGAGGGCATGGGTCTCGGTGATGTGGATGGTGATGCTGCGGGGGTGGATAACAGATCGCAATTGACCTTTCTGCGGCTGGTCCGATAGCGAGGAATATTCGACTCGTAGGGGAAAGCTTGCTCCGAAAGGGATGTGCATGGGGATCGAGATTCGGTATCGGAGATCAAGTCTCTCGTTCAGATGCTCTTCGACTGACTAGGGGTAGGGGCTATGGTTTTAATCCTGACTCACTCACTCACTCACTCACTTATCCTAGGGGGTAAGCGAAAGGAAGTAGTGGGAAAAACACTCACCGGCACGACTTGATCGAGAAGGTTCGCATAAAAGACGTTGGGGGTCCGATGAATCCTAAGTGGAGAGGACGACTCGATATCTGAATAGAAGTGCCGATGAACAACACCCCGGACTTCGTAGGAATGATACTCGTGCCCCACGCCAGTGACGGTATCCATCATTTCTTGGGCAAGAGGCAACTCGAACGGAAACTCATACCTTCCCCTTGGTAGTCGGAATGACTTGTCTCTCGACGAGGCCAAAGTTTGGCTGCGTTCCACGGTAGTGCCACCCTGGCAGGGTCCTGCGATGATCTCAGGGCGTGGTCTAGGGAGGGCCGAGTTAGAATTTGTATCTCTATTTAGATGTTCATGTTTCTTTCGTTTTCACCTACATTTTCAAGCTTCCTACTACTTTCACCTCGATAGCTTTGACAAAAATATCCTGGGGGATGTACAGAAAGAGTTTCCCCGAGATAGACGGCATGTTCGTTGCTTGGTCTTCCGGAAAGACTGGTATAAAAATACAGGATCGGTCAAGCCTAGCAGTGAAAAGAGTCGATTAGTCTATCTCCATTTGGACCTGGGATGGTATATCAAACACAGGAGCGGCATACCGCAGCTCGAACCGAATTGGTTTTCTGTTGTTGAACATTCTACTATAACCTCCAGATACGTCGGGATACGTCTGTTGCAGAGACCAGAAACTGAAGACCACTTTTGGTTCTGAACTAGTAGAAACATTGTCCGTTAAATACTAGCTGCCATACACAACTTACTATATGAATGTACGTGACCCATGTGGCTTTTGGAGTTGGCAGTGGAGACGCCCGAGAAGTTCTTAATTTCGGGACAGCAGGAAAGATAAGAGAATGGGATGCCTCCTAGTATTATCGTGTAGTGAGTGCTACTCATGATTGTGAATGGTGTGCAGGATTTGTTTTCTCTTAATCGGCCTGGCTATAGATAGATAGATCCGTGTCTGCTCGGTAAATCTTCCTCTTTCGCGCGCGCTCTCTCTCTGAGCTCGGGAACATTGCCCTGAAGATTTCTTGGTAACCAACCAAATACATTCACAAGATTCTATCGGATTCTTGCCTAACTGATCCATGTTAAGGATCCCCCACAAGAAGCAACTTATTTAAGCGGCAGTCTGAAGTTGATGTCTCATCTAGTGGTATTCGTCTCCACGCCAGCGAGTTTTCCAAGGCATTCTTGAGGGAATAGCAGACTCGAGTCACATCGACCCATCCATCACTGCGGCAGAACCTCACCTTCAAACTATTTACTACCAATGCATATTCTAGTAAGTAACAGCCATCAATCCTACTAATACATCTAGACCTCATAGATGAAGACGATGGGAACCATCTATATGTAACAGAATACGAAAAACTACCAAATCAAGCAAGAAGGTGACTAAGGCTCTCATTCTGTCAGGTTGTCAACGATGACGGGCCGCCGTCGCGGGATGGATCCCCGTTTGTCCACTCCTTGGTCAATGAACTCCAAGCCCAGGGACACGTTGTCACTGTTGTCTTGCCAAACCGGCAACGCTCTTGGATCGGGAAAGCACATTTTGTAGGGGAGATCGTCCGTCCGACGTATTACTACCCTGACAGGCTGTTTCAATCCAATGATCCTCCCCCGCTGGATCACAGCAGCAACGAGGGAAATCATCATGAACACCCCTGGGTGTTAGTCAATTCAACACCCGCTGGTTGTGTGCAGATCGGCTTGCATCACAGCCATGCTCTTCACAAACGTGATCAGGGGGAGGAGAGACCTAACCCAGTGGATCTGGTAATATCGGGCCCAAACCTTGGAGCGAATACAACGACTCTTTTCTCGCTCTCGAGCGGTACAATCGGCGGGGCTCTGGAGGCTGCGTTATGCGGGAAGAGGTCTATCGCCTTATCCTTCGAGCCACCGAGCAAGCTCCCCTCTTACGATTCGGATATGATTACAGAGGCGTCGAGGCATTCGGTTCGCCTTATCAATTATCTGTATCACAACTGGGACGAAGGTGTGGAGCTGTACTCCATCAATGTCCCTCTGCAGCCTGCCACAACTGCTGCGGGAAAGAGGAAAGTCATGTATTCTCGGATCCGGCCCAATCGGTGGCTATCGGAGAGCCCGTTCCGGGAGGTTTCATCCGGGGATGCGACTACTGCGCTGGATGACAATGACAAGATCCAATCTCCTCCGCTGCTGCGATGGGAGCCGGATTTGGCTGATATTCATGGAAGCACGGACCGCACATCGGATATGGATGATGACTGGATGGTGCGTGGTGGGAAAACCAGGTACGTGGCCAGTGGGACCCTGCAGAGAAGACCTAGAAGTGCAGATGGACTAATCATGGCCGTCGCTAGTGTGACTCCGCTCAAGGCGAATTTCATGCACGCTGTCCAGGCTGAGGGCGAAATTGAGCTAGATGCTTAGCTCTCTTTGAGGGCGGTGGGCGGAATAATAGTCTTCAATCGCGATGGAGACGGACTTGCTTCTCTGCAAGCTAACCTGCTCTTCCCCAGATTTTAGACACATCGTCTTAGAATTTGTATTAGATTGTGAAATAATATTGAAATCGTAGAGACCGACTTACTCAGATGACCAATGTCCTACCAGTACAGCCAGCCCACTAGCTCATCCACTCCCTCACCCGGTAACTCTGTCGCCCAACCAATGGAGTCCTCAACCTCTCTCAGCTTCCGGTCGCATGTACCTTACCAGCCAGAATGAGACGGCATGACAGTCTAGAGACAGGCGTAACCCCAATATCACTGCCGGATGGATTGTTCGAGAGGAAGGCAAAGGAAAGCGAGGAGATTCCTTTTCCGGGACATCGGGACTTTAACTTTTGCCGATTCCCGAGTGCGTTGTCCAGAGAAATTGTTTTATTTTATTCTTGTCTTAATTTATTTCTTCTTTTCCCCTACGACATGCCGATTGAGGCCATCTAGATTAGTAGATAGATGGCCCATCTCCATTCTGCGGTGTTATTGATGTGGAGTTGTAATCACGGTCCGCTGTGGGTCGGTTGGGTAACCTGGCAATTTTTGCGAGAGTCGAGATCCCATCCCAACTTACTACTGGCAATATTGCCGAGGGCAAAGGGTCTCAGAACCGATTGGAAATTCCCACTTCGATGGAAATGCATGATATCATCCCCATGCGCTAGATTAGATTGTTTAGTTCAAAACTGGAGGTACATTCCTTGATGGGCTCGGGACTTTTGCCTACCTTGGAAGCATCTCGTTCGAACTCAACTTCCAACATCTGTTGCTGACCGAGCCTAGCATGTTCTTCGCTGCAATATTTCAGCCATACGGAATGCCCCTGTAGCTCACGAATGAATGATGCTACATGTTTAAATCCTGTCCACTTACTCAACTTCCTACTTTTCCCAAGTTCCGGAAGTTTATGTACACTTCGACACCATGTCGATCGACACTGACGTTCTTATTATCGGAGCAGGTCCGTCGGGCTTGGGCATGGCCGTCCAGCTCATCCACAACTTCGGCACACGGAGGTTCGAAATCATCGAGAAGACGTCTGATACTTAATAAGAAATGAAGGAGAATATTGAACTCAATTATAAGATATACATTCCCAAACACCCAAAAACAACCTGGATATCGATGGTCTATTCTATAATTTGCCTTGCCCTTCTCATCTCCTCCTCACTCGGCATATTCACAATCATCATATATATAACTTTCTAGACCAGACGTTAGCAATCAAGGGAAAGAAATAGTACCAAGGTGATCTGCAACATACCCGCTTCAACAACTTATTCAACCCACCGCCCACAAACCCCTTCGTACTCTGATGAGGAACAGGCTTCCCCTCCGCACGAGCCTTCTCAAGCTCTTTATCACCTTTCGCCTTTCTCAACGCAGCATCCGCAAGACCACCAAAGAACGACGGTTTCGCTCCACGAGCAGATCTTCCCTCGATACCCATCCAGCCTAGGATCGTATCATCGGTGAATTTTCCGCCGGTGGCCATGGCAAGTAAGGATCCGCTGGCGGCTTTGTTGGTGGGGTCTGCGTATCGAGAAGTGAATTCGGGCTTGCGGCCCATGGCGAGGTTGCTTTCGGGGTTTTTGGCAATCTAGACATTTAATTAGATGGGTGATTGCAGGAGTGAAAAACGATGGGACCCACGAATTTAGCTTGATCTCTCTTATCGTAGTATTCTTCGACTCCTTCCATTGCGCGATGCACTTTACTCAACAATACTTGGTGCTTTTTCTTCGTTGCCTCGTCGACATCCGGATGGTTCAGATCGGGGAAGATAAGAGGGGAGAATTGGTCGAAGGTGGAGTTTGCCGTTGCGTTAGCCGTCTGGTATTTTTGTTTGATCCGATAAAATCCTTTCTCTGGGGTTCGGGCGGAGGTGATGGTGTTGTTCACGTCGAGGTCGAGAATTGCTTCCTTCGATTCGGGGGCGTAGGTCATGAGGAGACAGAATAGACCGCGCGGCATGAAGAAATCCTTGTTGATTTTGTCGAAGAAGTTTCCTGATCTATATTTATTCGTCTATTAGTATCCGTGTGTGTGTCTTTAGGGATATGCAAACAAACCTTCGTCTCCCATCAACAGCCATACCAATTCTCACAGCCGCATCGGCCACAATACCCATCACAAACCCAATCGTAGGATTAACAAAGTATCCCCCCACATTAGAGGCCAAATTAATAACCTGAAACCACTGTGACCCAACACAGGATTTATTAGCCTGGTCGACATAATCGAGAAACATCTTCTGATCGATACCGAACTTCTCAAGTTCGGGTGCATAGGCGCGCACGAATCCTCTCTGCCGATCCTTCGGCCGACGCTGAGGCAGAACGACTGGATAATCAAGCTTCGGAGGGCCAAAGTCTATAGAGGTGTCGTAGTAGCTCCAGTTGGCAGGGACTGGATAATCCCGGACAAAGGATTCCGCTAGCTTCGTACTGTAGTCGGCGTCGTCTTCAGAGTTGGGGGATGTAGTTGGGTATGTTACCCCGCGGAGATGTTCTTGTGCTTCGTCCAGTTCCCATTGGCGCTCGATGGCTTTGTCGACTTCGTCATATTCTCGTGAATATGTGGACTCTGTGTCGTATTCGTGGACTTTGCTTGTTGATTTTTCGTCTTTGGGAGAGAGAGACTTTTCGGTGGGAGGGAGTGGGTCGCTCACTTCTCTCGATGCTTGCGGAGGAGGGTACACGTTGTGTGCTGGAGGATAACTGTTCTCCATTGGAGGATGACTATCTGGCGGTGGGTAGCCATTCTCTGAAGGAGGGTAGGTGTTTTGCATGGGAGGTTGACCATGTTCCCAAGGATGGTAGGCAGTGTAAGTTGGGGGATGGTTGTTCTCCATGGGAGGGTAGCTGTTTTGTACGGGCGGTTGACCGTTTTGCACTGGAGGATGATTGTTTCCCATCGGATGGGGGTAGCCGTTTTGCATAGGAGGATAGTTGTTCTCCATGGGAGGATGAATGTCATGCATAGGAGATTGGCCGTTGTGGATAGGAGGTTGGCCATTGTATACGGGAGGTTGGCCGTTCTGAGCAGGAGGGTAGGTATTGTAAGTTGGGGGGCGGTTATTCTCCATCAGAGGAGGGTAGTTGTTTTGCATAGGAGGATGACTGTTTTGCACTGGAGGATAACTGTTCCCAATCGGAGGAGAATAACGGTTACCCATGGGAGGAGGATAGTTGTCTTGCATGGGAGATTGACCATTTTGCGTAGGAGGATAGGCATTATGAGTTGGGGGATAGTTGTTCTCCATAGGAGGAGGGCTGATGTTCTGCATGGAAGGACGACTATGTCCCCCATCCTCGGTATGATATGAAGGTGCCACACTTTCAGTCTCTTCAAGAGGAGGCAGAGATTCCGCTCCCGCTTCCGCATGTTGCTGTTGCTCTTTGTGCTTCTTTTCCTGATACTTCGCTTTCTGGGCCTTGACGGTTTCCGAGACGAGGCCGATCCCGGCACTGGCTTGTCGGATGAAGTAACCCATGATGAATACACAAAACAAAGTACAATGAAAGGGGTATAGTTCGCAGAAAGTCAAATAAGTTGAATGGAAAGATTTTGAGCCAAACAATCGGATCAGACCAGACAGAAGGAAGTATTTATACAAACCCTCCCCTTCCCCCCTCCTCGGCGATAAGAAATGGCCCCCAACTATACTCCGTGCTAGGGACCTCACCCGCCCACCCCCATCAAACAAGGGCCGCGTCAGCGCTAGGATACTGAATATCCCCACATAATTGGCTGTATCATGGCGAGAAAGCTTTTCTTTGCTACGCCTTACTCCGCTGTCACATCTTAACCTAAAAAAGTATCCCTGGTGTTCCACCTATTATGGGTCGGTTTGGGGGCGGGACAGTCTGCCTTAGTATGTGATAGGCTGATTCTCAAGCAAGCTTTGATAAGATAATTCAATAATCTTGGTACGGAGTAACAACTACTTAGGTATCTACCCTAACTATATTGGCATGAATAAATTTGAATGACATATGAAGACTGACTATGTCCGATTTATGACTATCATGAGTCCAAAAAATAGAGAGTCATCGTCCTCAATGGAAACATCACCCCTAAAGTTGTTATAGATCAATCAATGTTAAAATTATGCCAGTTGCATCGTGATGACCCTGGCTGATTCCTGCCCGAACACAGCCCTGCGACAACTATCATCTCATCGACGAACCAAACCTAATAAGGCAACCGAGATGTTCGGGTGTGAATTGCGGGGACCCTAGTCCTGTTACAGCAATGCTCATCGATGAACTAGCTTGTTATGGTTAGTATTCTGAGTTGGATGTCGATCTCCGTCTGAGCCCCTGCCTCAGCCGCAGAGCTTTGGTGGAACACATCGGAAATTGTTACCAGGATGTCAGCCTCGAGCAAAACTAGAGATGTACAGGCGAATATTGACAAGGCTATGATTAGGGGTGATCGGACTGTGTGAAATTCTTAGGGAAATATTATGTGGTGCTATCAAGTGTAGTATTGTGAACATTCAGTTCTAACTCAATGCGGAACTAAATATATATATGGAGTGTATACATAGGTGTATATCGTCCAATTTTTTAGGGTTGCAATAGCACAACTACTGGAAATTGACAATGATACTATATCTACTGTCATTCCATTCTTGTTCATATCTAAAGAACAACCTACATAAGATGCCCCGCGCCCGGAAGCCGAACCGGGCCGCAGAAAGGAAGACGGAGCAACCGGGACCCTCGCTATGACGTGTTCAGAGGAATCTTGATACTGATTGATCTACTTCATGTGAGAAGATGATCTAGCATCAGACTAACCTTCTTAAAGATAGAACTAATCATCCCCGTCTTAAATCAGAATTAGCTATTCTTGTCGTACACTACCCAGTATGTCAGCATTAAAGATACTTGGAGGTGTGCAGGGTAATGAGAACTTTTT